AAGCCCTTCCGGGCGTTACCGGACACTATAGGGTATGAATATCACAACAAAGGAGAGTTTCATAAGAATATTTCTGCTCGGTGGACGATACGTAACCAATCTAAGAGTTAAGCAATTTTAACAGCAGGTGCTCTGTAAGCATAATAGAACCATTGCTTCACAAGCCGTGTAGCAATTGGGGCCGCCCTGTTGAAAGTAAATGTCGTACGCATGCGCCATTGTACCATTTTTCAAATGGTACAGACTAATCGTACCAAAAACTGCTCTAGTTTGTCCCTGATTGTGATTGGAGGATTTGTTCGACTATTACTCTCGAATTTCCGATGCGTCAAGTGCGACAGTTCCACTTAATTACGCACCTAAGCAAGTGGAAATGAGTGCTTCATAATCTGGAATATATTTTTTTTTTAAATCGCGATCTTGTTTATGCATTTTCCTCACCTAAACAATTACTTATATCCTGTATCGACTCGAAATCACTCTCTGAATCAATATAGGCCTATGATTGCTTGATGTCTGTCCCTATATTTTCATCTTCAACCTACAGCACACAAATTTTGAAATATTTCATAGAAATTTGGTACGTTAACGTAACGTTTAGCCGAAAGGGGAGACCTATTGAATGCACGTTTGGATCCGACTCTTAAAAGAAAAAGTCTTATGAAAGGAAACTGAAATTATTGATATTTTTTGAAAAAAAGTAGTGGAAACCAGTTTTTTGCCGTATAAATTAAATTGGAATGTGGAATGTAGAATTCGGCGATGGGACAATTTTTTAAATTCTTTCCTACATAAAAGTTCTTAGAAGAAAATAAGTAAGGAGTAGGAGTACTTTTTAGAATTTTGATGAAAATTGATTCAGACTTGGATCATATGAAATCATTTTTAGGGTTGCTTCTCCCAAGTCATTAAAACAGGGAAAGGTTTAGTTTCCACGATTTTATGATAAAAATAAGCGCGGAGCAATATATTCTTCGGCAAAAAAGTTTAATTTTACGAAATTTGAAACACCCTACTTTTAATTTTAGGATCTTCTCATGAAAAATAAACATTTATCAGATAACTTTATTTGCAATTTTTTGTATGTTATGGAAAATATAAACGCAGTATTATTTGATGTAAAGTGTTTAGTGGTCGAACACTTGTTCTTATATCCTACGAAATTTTACTTTTCAACATACCGTTCCTTGGCAGACGGAACAATATTCTCTTAAGTAACATACATAAAAATTAATTCTATTAACAATAAGCAATACTCGAGCGCTTTAGATGTTGTGTAATCGACGGACGACATATTTTAAATGAATTGCTAAAGAAAATTTTAATTAATTAACCACTGCGCACCTGATGTCATTAATTGCTGTGAAGTTAATTATTCTATAAAGTTTCCATATAATTGATTAATTGAATTAATATAAGTTTATCAATGTAGTTAAGCATATGTCTATAAAGGGATAAATTTGTTATTAAAGTTACCCAACGAGAACGAAATTGATGTATTGATAAAATTGTTTAACAATGAGATGAGCCGCCATTAATTAGTAGTAACGTACGATATCTTCGATGCGACATGACTTTAACGGATACTTAATCATGTTTTATTAATTTTCGAAATGAAAAAAGGCCATTAAAACCGCATTATAAAGAATGCTTTTTTCCGTTTTTTTTTTTTTTTTTTGAGTACCTATTGCAACTACAACCAAGTATACTTTACCAACGATGCGTTTATCTCTGACCCTAACTGACACCGAGGTTTAGGCTCGCTGACACTCACTTAGTAGTCGTGATTCGTATCAACTCGACTACGGAAAATAGTAAATATAAAAAAAAAAATGTGAAATATTGGCGAAAATAAAACCTTAAATGTTTGTTTTTTAATTTATTGTCATCATTCTTTTTTTCGTTTCGTTAAATTGATTGTGCTCATGGTGTTTCCTGGTATTTCTTGTAGGTAGAGGAAGGTATTTCCTTTTGGGAATGTCCTAGCTAGATCACGCACACGCTCTCTCTCTCTCTCTCTCTCTCTCTCTCTCTCTCTCTCTCTCTCTCTCTCTCTCTCTCTCTCTCTCTCTCTCTCTCTCTCTCTCTTTCTCTCTCTTATAGGTATTGATATCGAAATTGCTTAAATCATACCCGCCGTTTTGCGATCTTGAACATATTTATCCGTCACGCCTAAATAAATTGGGATGTGGTGTAGACTTCAGTCAAGGATTTTATTGCATTGGAGCTACATAACTTCATCTCCCGAGCAAACTTTTACGGCAGTTTGCAACTTCCAAAAGCCTTTTTCACCACAGACGACGTCTGCGCATATATTCAGATCTTCAGTAATCTTAATGTTAATTTGTTTTGTAATGTTAATTTAAAAAATAAAAATTTTAAAATAAAATGTCACAAGCAGTTGGACTATTGTACAATAAACACATAAACTGTCAATTTTATAGTAAAACCAATAAAATTCACACCCATTATTAAGTATTTGATTAAACAATGAAACTTAATGCGCATATCGCTCTCCCTCGCTCATTCGCCCTCTTGTTCCTTGTTCGATACCTTCCAATCCTCCGGAGAATATTAACATCCTATTGAAAATTGTAAACATACACTCGGGCACACACCTACTTACATGTTTACTTTTTCACTGAACGTAAACATCAATTCACGCAATATTGACTTTGGTGTTGACAATCTATCAATATATCAAATTTCACCAATACGTACGTAAATATATGATATTCAGGGGTCGTCACACAATATGCTACAGAAATGTTACTGCGAACTATCAAATATGTGCATAGACCGAAAGGACAGACGTCAAGGTTTAAAAACGTTTGTTAAATGACGAAAGTCAACTGACTATTTACACACACTTACTCATATTGAATTAATTATAATAAATTTGTGTATTTATTATATTAAAAACGAGATTTACACTTAAAAGCTAGCCGGGTCTCCTGCACAATTTTTCGATTTAATTGCAATCCACCTCAGTGCATATATGTATATGCACTAAAAACAGAAAGAACAAATTTTCACATTCTCTTTTTTTTATACATGTATATACATACATGTCCATCTATATCTACATGTATATATGCGCATACATATGTACATATGCCCATATAGATGTATATGTATATATTTCTATATGTATACGTGTATACGTATATATGTACATGTATGTAAATATATATATACGTACACATGTACATGTATGTATATGTATATACGAATATATATATATGCATGTATATGTATATACGAATATATGTATATATATGTATATGTAGTGCGAACCTTCCTTTTAATTCAAAATATTAACTCCCGCGTGCATTTCGTGTCAAAAATAATTTTGGCCACCATAGTACATAATACGATATTTTAAAGCACTATAGTACATACCAGACATCGGAGTACATTAATGCAAATGAAACATGTGACGAAAAGATATTTCGATATAAATCGCATTTTCTCCATAGACTGCAAACACTGTGGGAAACACAAACGATAAGATAAGTTGGCAATGCCAACGGTTTACAAACAACACGAGATCAGTATTCCCTTCTCGTTCCTCTTACCATATCGAACACTCACCCCTACAGAAAGTTATCTTTCTCTGCATTAAAGTAGATTTAACGGCAACACCGATATAGTAAGGCTGATACCAGTGACATAAGTTCTATTGTCCTATACTGTTACTGTCACGATTTACTTTATTTGATCGGGTGCTTTCTCTGTCTGACCGAACCAATTTATTATAGAGGCGGTACTGTAATTCGTCATGTACCGCGATACCTACGCTGCACTTTTCAAGTCTTTCATGTGCACCCTTGTTTTTTGTCAAAGTCTAAATCTGCTCTATTTCTTCGCTGTCTTCCCAGTTATGCTACCATGGTTTTCCTGTTCCTTTTTTGATGTCATCTATTGCGAAGAATTATGTAGATCGTCGCAAAAACTCACGCCCTGTGGACTTCAAATCTACTCTTGTTTCTTTCATAATCGAAATTACTAGCATAATACAAGCTTTTATGCTTTGTGATGTTCCCCTCCCAAATGAATTTATTGCCGACATATACACTGTCGTGCTTTTCGACTTTTTCTCTCACATAACTAGGAAAAGAATTGAATTAGTGAAGACTTTAAATCTATATGCCGAGCAACACGTATTTCCATCAATTCTTGGTGACATCGATGCGGTAGAGAGAAGAGTATAACGTAATAAAGAGGCAAGCAATTTTATTCGTCCACTTGAAATGACAATTGGATATGTGTTCTCCTTAGGATATTCTTGGGAAATTAGTTCCTAACAAAAGTTGTGAAAATAAAAAAAGATCTATCTCTTTAAGGAATCTTATTTTTAACCAAAATTCCAGATTTTATGTCTAATATTTCGTGCACACATACACATGACTGTTAACTTAAATTGCATTCTCGAAAATTGAAATAAAATATTTTCTGGGCACATTTATGAAATAATTTTTCATATGCATCACCGAAAGATGAGAGGTATATTCATTTTGGCAAAAAATTTGAAACGGCCAGACGGAAAGCTCGGAAAGATCAGCATCAAATTTTGAATTGATTTGTTCGTCTATCTCCTGATAAAGCATTTTGCTTTAAATTTTCCGAAAACATTAAAAGTTCTTATACGCAAGCTGGTAGTCAGATCCAAAGCGGTCAAAAAACACGACTACCGTACAATATTAGTTGAGGTGACGTTTTCGTTACGATTAAACTTTACATTTGCATTGTTTCGGTGACCTTGCAGAACCTGCATAAAAATAGAAAAAATCAACCACGCCTACTTAATATTACAGAAAATTGAAATTCCTTTCTTCTCTCGAAAAGTTTATAGCAGGCAGAAGGAAGCTTCGGGAACATCAACGCACCAAACGGTGATCCAGTCGCGGCGTAATATAATTATTTTTTGCTTTGTTCTTCAATGCTCCCTTCTCTCAAAGTTAATTTTAATCAAAGAATCAAGTCGTCATAATACTTACCGAAAAAGAAATTTCTAAGGTAAATTAAATTCCATAATTGAACCAATTGAACCAATGCGAGCAATCGTTGAATGGAAAACTTATGGATTAATAATAAAGTGAAAGTGTTTTCCTTTCTAAGTGCATAGAAAATATATTCCATACATTGTTTACTTTTCCCACTTAACATAAATTAAAATCGTGTACTATTGTTGTTTTGTTAAAAAGCGATTTTAGAAAAAAATACAAATGAATTAAGCGCAACACAATGACAATAACAATATATACATAATGGCAGTTTTTCACACTCGCACAATAATGAAGAAAAACAAATAACACCGTAATACGACCGTAAACAAGTGATTTGATTAAAATGCAAATGAGCTCGTTTTTCCGTAATTCTCCTTCTTCCGTTTATCAATTTAGACAAGAATAATAATAACTGCTATGTTAATCATAAAAATTTAAATTCCAAATGAGTTTTTCTTTCCTTTTTTTTTTTTGTTGTTTACGGTTTATTAAGTTTTCCGTTAAAAGGGCACGAGATGATGTGTCAAGTCGAAGAAAACGATTTTTTATTTCTTCTCACATAATCACTACTTGTTTTTATTACAAAAGATTATTTTTAATTTTTTTTTTTTTGTTTACCGACGCTATGATAATTTCTAACCTATAACATATTTACTCCTTTGATTACTTTATCTTTTTTTCATATTTTCTTCTTCTATTATTTACGTAACAATTTATGCTTTTGGTATTTTATTTTTTTGTTTTTTTTTTTTAATGGTAAATTTTATAGTAATTTCTTATTTTTTTTATTTTTGCTAATATTATTGACACTATATATATATTTTTTTTTTGCGCAATAACGTATAATACCGTTTTCGGTTTGAAACGTAATAATAGTTTAATGGCAAACTACCAATATTTAAAGTCTCCCGTTAGAAAAATCATCAACTACAACAATCATGGCTACGTGAGTGAATGAATATGCTTAGCATCTGCGAAGTTTGCAAGCGAGTCATAGTCGGACTCAACATAACACAAAACAACTGCTTCTGTATCAAGGAAATGCTGCTGGCTGTTCACGTGGCTCTTTTCTCAAGGGATGAAAAATCAACTTTTATCCGCCAAATTCATTCATAACAACGATGCGAGATATAAGATATAGATATAAGATCTTGTCTTGTCATCTTTTATTTTAGTTAACATTCGTTATTGCCTTGCCTTAAGCTTTTCAGAGAGTAATTTATTTGAAAGCTTACTCTTCTTTGTTAAGAGAACGTTATCACATAAACGCACATGCGTTTTAATTCTACACATACGTATTATCTCTACACTTAACAAATGCACACGTGTATGTAAATTTTCACCGGGAACATAAGACCTGTTGAATGTTTAATGTTGACAATTTGAAGGTTAACCGAGTTAACTTCAAAGTTAAATATTCATATATACAAGTATATACAAGTATATTGACGACCTTAACAAGAAATACACTAAGTAAGGTGTCTATCAATACCTTCGTTATTTAGTGAAATTTTAAAGGGTTTTTGTTGAAAATTTTTATTTTTTTACTTTTTTTGAAACAGAAATAAACTAAAAATAATATTCGATGTTTTTACCTGTCGAAAGTCGAAAAGGCAATTGAATTGAATATCGAATTAACGAAAAGATTTGTCTGATCGACAAACTGTAAATGTGTTCTTACTAGATACTATGTAGATACTTTGGATACACGATGATATCATTTATGTCTTTCGTACCGTATGGACCGGCTCCTGTTAGCAACTGCAAAGTTTTCCGACTGTAAATAAGCAAAAATATTATAGTGGACAATGGCCACCGCCGCCATCACCGTTAAACAGCCTACTCCACTACCCTTAATACAGTTATTTTATGAGAAGTTATATCGGAAGTGGTCGAAAACGAGGTCCATTCCAAACCGTTTTATTCTTTCTTGCGCCAAAAGACGTGGGTGTGTCAAATTTTACCAGAATGTCTTAGAAACTGAAGCCTATAGGGTAAGCATAAAAATAAAAGGCGGACAGACAGCCAGACGAGCAGACAAACCCATATCGATTCAGAATCACTGCCGGGACAATCTGTCGTTTTAATAAAAGTTGGATCCGTTTCAAGTCGTTCCCGGGTGTTGTACACATTCGCACAAACTTAATAAAGACTTGTACCCAAAGTGCGGGGCATAAAGAAAGGAAAAAAGCGAGAGAGAGAGAGAGAGAGGAAGAGAGATAGGCATATGAAATACTTCGGTTTCGTACTTTTCGTAAGTTTCTTACTTTTCGTAAGTTTATTACTTTTAGTTACTTACTCACTACTGAAGGTTGGAGGTATAATCAGAGACGCCACAATATGTACATATTCACGAGCAGCATCAAATTCTGAATCGATTAAAGTATTTCCGGCTGTACGTCCGTGTAGTGTCTGCTGCAAACATTTTGCTAGCCGCTATCGATTTCGAATTCGACAGTAACATTGGAAGTTCTTGCACGCAAGTTGGTATTAAAAACGCGCCAAATAGGTCGAAGAACACGCCTACAGTACGATGTAAACTGAGAACACCTCTGCTTTCCAAAAGCGATAAAAAATTAGTCTTTTTGCTTATTACTCATAAACCATAGCAGATAAACCTATAAATATTTGAAAGTATATTCCCTGAGCGATGCTTTAATATTTGTAGAAACTTGGGGAAAATTGACCCACTATGATAAATTTAATTTTTTTTTCATGTCCGTCTGTCCAGTTATCTGTCAGTGCCCACAAATTTACAAAAGAATTTAAAAATGATCCAAACCTTTGTCTCCCGTGTGTTTTTTGCTTTTTACTTATGAAGTACGACACAAACACGGTATAAATTTTCAGTTTTATATTGCAAATAAAAAAAATCCAGCCACGCCCATACACTGTTATAGATTATGAAAGTTTATTTTTTAGCTTTTTTTCAGTCTTCTTTAGGATAACTGTGATGGGTATAAAAGATTCGATAAGGACCGAATATAATCTTCTTATTTGTTAGGAGTTCGTTTTGCGGAATGTGTAAATTCTTAATATCGCCATAAGCAGTAGACGACATCCTCCAAAGAAGAAAAATTATATGAAGCAGCGAAATATAGTTTTATTTATTCATTTATTTATTCATTTATACATGAAATTCAACTACAGGAAATTACAGCCGAATTCATTACATGTTAATAGAAAATCTTATACTACTAATTTTAAAACTAGTATACAATAGAAAAAAGGAAGAATAATAATAAGCAAGTAAGTTTACAATAAATTAAAAAGTTAAAAGTAATAATTCATGTATAAATAAACAAAAGAAGAGAAAAAAAAGAAAAAACATGTGTCAGAAGCACACCCGCAACAAGAACAGGTCCAGGTTGCAAGTGAACCCCTAAACCATTGCAAACATGCATAAGCTTGACAACTAACACGTTAACAACATAATATTGTTTTAAATAAGAAATGAGATATTAAGAATGGAATGTTATAATAATTATAAGACATTTAAGACATAGGTAAATCGCGCATATTAAGTAAAGTTGCTTTAATAGACTTTAAAGAGTCCGATAATGGGAATAAGTGATAGACGTCATTTATGTCCTTGCAAACAACTCTGATCGGGTTAAACAGCTCATAAATATATTTACATTGACTAAGCTTAACCAAGATAAAGTGCTTGGAGAAGCGGTTAGAAGCATTAAAGCTTATCTCACCAAGTAATGTGGGCGAGTCAATTGCACTATTTATTACTTTGATTACGAAGGAAACGCCAAGAACAAATCTACGTTTCTCGAGAGACGGTAAGGGCAACAGAAGCAATCTATTTTCATAGGGGGGAAGACAGGCAATCGGATCCCAACCCAAATTCCTAAGGGCAAACAGCAAGAATTGCTTTTGAACAGATTCAATTGAATCAACATAGCACTTATAATAATAATGATAGTTGAGGGAGTTAAATCTATGCCTTGCCGCCGAGTAAACGAAATAGTCGAAAACAGAGCCACTTTTCGAATATTTTTTGAAAAGCGTGTTTTTCCTAACCTTAAAATATTTAATTGTCTTATTAAACCACGGGGGACACCTGCTTCGAGATCGGGATTGCTTGACCCGAACAGATGCAGAAATAGCTAGATTTCATGTATTGTAGAACGATGACTGTAAGCTTTCAATACTTCCAGTTGAAAAATCAATCATAATATGTGAAAGATGAGATTTTAGCATTGAAACATTATTTGAAAAAGTTGACTTGGGAAGGTTGCAGAAGTTCAACGAACCATCATGCTTGTAATGAAAGCAAATACCCAATGCTGGATGATAAGGATCCTCAGGTAAACTAAAAGGTAGACAACGATTAACACTAATCTCGGGAAAATTTACAAAGCAAAGATCAAGCAGTCTATCAATGCAGTTAGGGGTACCATTGTATTGAACTAAGTTGTGATCAAATAATTCATTAAAGAACACAACAGTTCTATCAGATGTTGAAGTAGAAATCAAACAGCCAGAACTATCACTTTAACACCAAGTGGCTTGAGGCAAGTTGAAGTCACCCAACGCAATGAATATATCAGTAGGTTTAAATTGCTTGGCCAGTTCGCAAATGAGGGCGGCCCGTTTCTTATATACGGAAATATCCGAATTTGGGGGAATATATGAACAGGTCACATGTAAGTGTTTATTAGAAAATTTCGCTCGAATGGCGATAAATTCAAAGTCGGGAAATTCAATTGAATAGGAGGGAACTGCCGCAGATATGGCTATTAAAACACCACCACCATTGCGACACAATCGATCATTTCTGAAAAGATCGCTTGGATTTCCTGCCCATTAAGTAAGATGTTCCACTTTTTGAAAAACGCATTTGTTTGAATGCATGCTGCTTATAGATTGGCAATGATGTCGGCAGGAAAAATGCCAGAACTGAGGGTCGGAATGTCGTCAGCAACAATTGGAAACATACATCCACTTGACAGTGGAATGTCGAGAGATACAACCTACACCGATAGACGTCAGATGGATATCAAAGCACCTACCTTTCAAAAAGCTGCGTGTGAATTTAGCAATTTCGAAAAAAAAATTCTAACGAAGCATTTTAATAATGAGTCTTTCGTGCTAAACAGCTGGCAAAAATGGCGATGAAAGCTAAAAAATGACAATATTGGTAAGTTTTTATAAAAACCAAATAAAAATATAGCTGGTCACAGGCCACCATTCACTTAATACAATTATTCACATAGCAACCATTTAAAATAAGACGGTATATGAGAGGGCAGTGGTTGACGAAGCGATCCAATCCGAACCATTTTCAACAGCGTTCATCCTTTGGTACCCAATTTCAACGAAATATATCAAAAATAGCTATATTTGGGGAGAATAGAAGGAAACAGAACGGACAGATAGACAAACGAGCAGGCAAGCTTAGATCGAATCGAAAAAATCAAAACTCTTAACATACCCTCGCACCACAAGTGGTGTAGGATATAAAAAATGAAATCATTTTTTTAATGTACAGAGTTTTACTTATGAAAGTACAAGTCTTAAAGTACTTAGAAAAATTTTTTTCGTTATTGTTTGGACAGCCTGCCTTAATATACCGCTACAATTCACAATTTTGCGTTCAATACAATAAATCGATAATTTTTTGCCTCAAAATCTAGTGAACATTACGGAATTATTAAAGGAGGAAATTGAATCAACTTGAAAACTTATCGAAAAAATTACCTTGATCGTCAATGAAATATTTAATGAAAGTTTTAATAAAAATTTTAGGACAAGCAGAAAATTTAAAAAGCCAGCAGTACTCGAAAAATCCATTTTGAAGAGGTCTTTACTTTGTATTTAAATTAAAAATCTCTGCAGTTTGCTTTAAAAACTTCTATTGGCGTCTTTGAGTTCTCTTTAAGACTTTTGCAATTTCAAAGATGGTCAAAATACGGCTGATATAGCCGACCGCATTCTGAAAATCAAAATTTTAGATTATTTAAAATTTCAGCCCTTCCTACAGCACTTGTGGCACAGGGTGGCCCAGAAGGACTTAAGATTGGCCCACCTTTTATTATACCGATCCATTCAGAATCACTTTCTAAATCGATCTAAGCCTCTTTGTCCGTTCGATGTACTTTTGTATACAAGCTGCAGGTCGCAATTTTTGAGATATATTGATGAAATTTGGTATACGGAAATACTTTCGTCCAAAAATAACGCCATATTCTATGAAAATTCGCTTGCTAGCGAATATTGTAATTTTCAAAATGTCTAGGTAAAAGTGGCTAAGTAGTAATATTCCGGCAATCTAAATTGGTGTGAAAACTTTGGAGTAACTTTTTTAAACCTCTCTGGTATAACCGTTCCTACGGAAGCTGATGCTTTATATGATAAAGAGAAAAGCTTCGCTCATAGTAGTAAATTAACAAAGTAATCCACCATGGAACACGTAGGTCTATTTTTTGAATATTTTTTGTGATGAATGATTGAATGATTGAATGATTGAAATAAAGTTGACCTAATTTGAACTACATGGGTCTATTTTTTGGCTTCCCCATAAAAGATATGTCAGGAGTAATAAGCCCTTCAAAAAAAACTTTAATTTGTAATATTTTATGGTAAAAAGGATTCATAGTAGTGTTTCCACAAAAAAATTAAGGGTGGGGAATTTGGATCACATAGATCTATTTATTTGGAGCCCAACATATACGCTCTATTATGAAACGCAAACTTTTATATGGGGAGAAAATCTAACCTCCCAATATACGGGCTTTCAGCAAAATAATGTGTACTTTTTGGTGTATTATTACCAAAACTAGCGAATGACTGCCCTAGGCGATGGTCTTACTTTTTTTTTTTAAGTAAGTTAATAATATAAAAAACAGAAAAAATGATAAGATAATATTACGCGAAAATAGAATTATTTTGAAAATTATCAGGAATTGACAATAACAAAAAAATATTGTCTTTATATCACCAAACAATAGCTTTCAGAATTTAAAAGTTACATTTTAAACTTGTAGTTTGCTTAAATCCTTCTAAGAACTTTCCCTTTTAGCATTAGCAATGTACTCGACCTCAAGCCAATGTATCATAAACTGATCTCGTAAACGAGGTGATTCTATGAGTGTTGTCGTATTACTTCTAATTCTATCAATTCAAATACAAGTTATTTTTGATCGATACTACTCATTAAGCGGGATTTGTGGATAAGCAATTCTTCATACACTATTTCAAAAGAATATTGAAATTCCTAACAGGACATTTTTAAATGGATCTGATAAGAATTTGCATTTTCTAGTAATAGTATAAGTGTTCGCTGATAGGAACGTACACATTTCAATCCTAGATTCGGATTAAGCATTCACTTTTTGGCAACCTTAACAGTTCAGATATACAAGAAAGTAAACCAATAACTATCATAAATGGCCAGAACAAGGAGACAATGACAGCACTACTATCATCCCCAATCATCAGGAAAAATTTTATAACGGGGAAGAGCTAGATTAAAATGTTGCGGTGAGTGATTTAACTAAAGTTACAGAAGCAGACGGGTACATTTATTTTCCCTATGTCAACAATATTTTCATTTTCTGGAGGTTCTTGCTTGCCGGGCAAAAAAAGAGGAACTTTCTTCGGTACGTTGTGACTGGCAATGAAAAGTGGATTTCCCATGACAATCCCAAGCGCAAAAGATCATGAGTTAGTTCTGGAGAGCCGTCTGCATTATGGCCACAAAGTTTTGCTGTGCAGATGATCGGATCAGGACCGTACATTGTATCACAAGCCGCTGAAACCGAATAGAAGAGCTGATGTCTACCAATGCCAATTGAAAGTATGGATCGAAATATTGTGGCAACAATAGTTGTTAACGGACACAAAGTCGTCTTCTTGCATGACAACGCTCGGCCGCATGTTGCACGAGCCGTGTCCTTCACGGTGTATCCCGATAATGTTGCAGCTCGAATGGGAAACTCTGTTCCATCCAATACCAGACATAGCACCTACTGATTACCACTTGTTTAGATCGACACAATATGGCTTGGCCGTCACGCGTTTTCAAAATACTGAAGAAGTGCGAAAAGGTGTCAACGATTGCATCGCTGCCAAACCAACGTCGTCCGTTCGACACGGTTTCGCCGTATCAAAAAATGAAGGGAAATGTGATCAGAAAACGTGGAAGCACCTAATGTTTGTGAATGCATTTTCCTATTGTAAACTATTTAAGCTGCGTAACCATGTGACCTTAATAAACTTTGCAGTTACAGAAGCTTGCAGAAGTAAGAATATTAAATTCGGGTGGGACCGAATCTATCATACCCATCACTCAAACACTAATAAGTTAAGCAAACAGACAGATGGACAGAGGAACATGTGGACATGTTCACGTGCATTCAAGGGTGATAACTGGCCAACAATTTCTACACTTGATGTGGTTTTTGAAGCTTGTTTCCGCGGTATTGAAAAAATAATTAAATTTTGATACGTTATAATATTCATAATATATTGGGTACGGGCGGTCAATTTTTCCCACTTTTGTGCACAAATGTGCATAAAGCATCGCCAATAGAATAGGCTTTCAAATTTTTGTACCTTTATTTGCTATGGTTTATGAATAATGAGCAAAAAACCAATTTTTCATCCCCTTTGAGAAACAGAGGTTGCAGTTAACGTGCTGCTGTGGGCGTGTGCTTCAACGAATTTGACTCATTTTTGCGAGATCTTTCAATGTTTCTGCCAAATTTAAAGTCGACAGCTTCATTTTGGCAGCCAGGAGAATGTTTACAATAGACATCATACAGACGGACGGACAGACATGTTTAAATCGATTTAGGATTTGACGTTGACCAAGAGTGAATATATACTTTGTGCGATCTCTGATACTTCTTTCTGAGCGTTGCAAACGTTTTTATACCTTTACCCTAGCTATTATACTTTACAAAGTATATACACACGCAATAGAAAACTAATACATCATACGACCAAGTTAGGGTGATAAATATGGGTATATACTTTTACTACTAATTTGTTGATTTATTAAACGAATGCACCTTTTTTTTTAAACTTTAATTATTTTGTAAACTTTGAAAAGAATTGACTACTACCGCAAATACAAACTTAATTATATTTTAAAGTACATATCTACATATATATTAAATGTATTTAACTTCCTAGACATGGCATCCGAAATTTCTCAAAGAAAGTTTTTAAACTTATGATAGTTAAAACGAATTAACAGAAAAAAAGAAAAAATAACTTTTCACAAAAAAAAAAGAAAGTAAACAAATTCAAAAACGGTCAGAAATTCTTGAAAACAAAAGCAATAAATATATAAAGACACATTTAAATATCAGATAAATTAACTATAAATATAAACTTAAGAAATAAAAGAGTATAAAATGTATTGCTTTTTAAAAGTGGTCTTACCGTAATAAAAGGTATGCCCAGTCTATAGGACGGAAAGACTTAATGCGAGTTAATCATTAAAAATATGTCATTATAAAGAAAAGGTATTTTTAACTTTAACTTAAAATGAACATAACTTATCTGATTTAAAAACGAGAACCCGGCTTCTCTCAGGGTTGACGCTACTTGATCTACAGTATAAGTATATAGCTTTTAACTTTGTGCTTAAGCGATTAATAAAAAAAATGTGTCACTAAAAATACAAATTAACGTCGAATTATTTTTTACGTATGGATTTGAGATGTTGCTGCAATTGTTCGCACCGTTGACATTCTCTAGTTAGTTGTTTAACAGCGGTCGCATATTGACGTTGTAACTCGATTAGACCTTGCAATTCTTCGGTAAGCATATCACGTCGTCTCTTCTCTTCATTATATTTAGCACGAACTTTCGTTTCCGTCTGTTTGACTCCATGTACAATTGTTTCAAATTGTTTAATAAATTCTTCACGGCCGTGTGAGCTCATCATACCCTCATTGTAGGCTTCACATATGGAATTTAGCAATGATAGTTCTTTTTCCATATAACGTTTTTTATCGTTAAGTGTATTGTAAAACGTGTAATACTGTTTTGTCTCCAAATGCTTAACGCTCACTACATTAATTCATTTTTAATTCATGAAAATTTCAATGCACGACGAATGAGAAACAAAAACAAAGAGAATTAATTAAAATGCTGTTTATATGTAATAACAAAATTTTGTCTAAACAAAGATGACGCCTAAATAGTTCACTCCGATCTTTGATAAGAAATTTTTTTTGCATATTTTATAAAAAAATTTATTATTTTTCAAATTATAAATTCTTTAATCATTAATTTTTCGTTTTCAATAATCCCCAAGTCGTTCTCTGATTAAACTATACATTTTCATAGAAGAATGCACAGAAGAATGCAGTACTCCTATGAAAAAGTTACATTTTATTCAGAATAAGTGTTAAAATAATTTTATAAATTTAAAAGATAATATTCCAAATGATGCGAGATTTTATTCCAACTTCCCATCTATTATTCTTGTTTAGTTGATTGTAAAAAAGATAAACACATTACGCCGATACTCAAATGTATCTAATGCTTTTGACATACTTTTGCCGCCTATGAGCAACTGCCTTTTGCTGTGTTCGGTCAAGTATCTTCAAGCAAAGGAACATAGAAAATGTGTTTGTAAGGAATGAAATAATGGCTGCAGTTCTTTCACCACCAAAGGTGTGAAGGTCGTTTTAGCAAATATAGATTCTGTGAGATGGAAGCAGCCTCAGGCGTTAGTTTCGCCATTACCAGACAGTTTTTTCATTGGATCTAACGTAATTTGACAAAATCCCGAAAAAATGCTCGTGTCGATTGGTACAAGCCAAAGCTTAAGAAGTGCAATGATGGTACTTAAAAACTACTACTGTACTAGATAAGTGTTCTAAGAAAACGAATCAGGGACACTTGGGAACCAGGAAGTAAGCATCACTCGACTCTATTCCCTTCGACCAAATCGCACAACACTTACTCATGCTCGAGGCACATTCATACAAATTTTCTTTTGTTTTTTTTGGAATATTTAGTCATGTAGCAAAAGTGCCTTTAGAGGAACGTACAACGATCAATTATGAATGCTGCACAACCATTTGTTTGCTGGAAGTCTTCGGTTAAATAAGTATCGTTCTTCACCATGACAATGCAAATTCTTAAACATCCTTTTTTTACCCGCCTAATTAAAAAAATCAAAAAATTTGCGCCGCCAGCAGCAACGTTTCATGCGTTCAATAAACATGTTTTGAAAAAAAGCTATGAAAAATAATTTGATCGTATGCAAAAGTACATAGGACATAAAGGAGAGTATTTTAGGAAAAAATAGAGCATGGCATTTAATGTTTTTCCATAAATAAGCTCAAAATATAAATAGCGCCTCACGTACTTGTTGGGCTCAACAACAAACCCATTGTCAGAGTGAAGTCCACAAAAAATCGACAATCCTTACCTATAAAATCAGTTATGCACACATTACGCAAGAATTATGATTATAAACTGAATCGGAAAAGTACTAAAGGAAATCACTTACTTTCATTGTACAATTCATGAAATCGGCGTTGATATTGAGCCAATTCAGTACGATCAGGTATATTATCGAGTTGTCGCTGTATAGCCACAATACCACGATTACGTTTTGCCAACTGTAGTTTCAATGTTCTAATACGTTCCTTTTCTGCGAATATCGCTGCTTCCCGCTCTTCAGGACTTTGGCATGTAAACGCTTCCAATTCTCTATAAATAAACATTAAAAGGAAATTTATACATGAGGTTATAATCAAGATAACTATTAAGAGTAAAATAATAATAAAAAGAAATCCCTTCATAAAAGTATAGCGCTACTTGTTTGGTTAAGTACTAAGATATATTTTCAAGTAAAGGCAAAGAGCGATTCCTACATTCAATTGTGGAACAGATTTACGGTTACAAGTTACATTTTTATTGTTCCCTTACAAAACCCCTTTTTTGTATTCATAAAGCAAAGATAGAGATGGTTTTCGGAAAAAGTTGCAATTTATTCTATCTTACTTGGCTATCGCGTTGGTGATTTGATGGGAGAGTTATTTACTTTAACAGTAGGTATGGACATAAACCAAAAAAAAAAAACACATTGTAACAAGAAATCATTATAAAACGTCAATGTCAGTGAAAAAACGTTCTTCATAAAGTTCTGAAGCTAATAGGCTAATAAAGCTAATAAAAAAAATATTGCGATTGCGCTGGAGCGATAATACACATTTGTCTGTTTTCCAATGGTAGAAATACCAGTACTACAGTAAAACTGGAGAGGAAACGTCAATAGCGAAGAATTTTATAAACAACTTCTGAAATTTCTCCTAAGAGGAAAGTACAATCACTATAAGGATATTCTCCAAGGGAAGACATAATAACGAAAAGGAACGTTCTCTATAAAATTCTTACGCAAGATTTAAATCATTAAATTAAAGTTAAAAATATTTTCAAATTTATATGCTACTCAAATTTATATGCTTACTCAATTTGTTGTTGCAGTTCAGCTAAATCTTTGCGGCAATGCTCCTTGAATTCGGACTCTTCCTTTTTCAAATCATCATGTTGTGTTAATAGTGTTTGCACCTCACTTACTAATCTGGAATTATGCGAAGCTGTAAGGACCAAACTTTTGAAAACATTAAAAAACCTACTCGGTTTTGACTCCTGCTTCCACGTTTTTGTACTCTTCAATTTGTGCTTCCAACTTTTTTTGTTGTGCCACATCCTTTTCCGCTAATTTTTCCTGCTCTTGTAACGATTGTAATAAGTCTTGCAAGTCCGCCTGATTGCGTTCAACTTTGCGTTGCAATGCCGACTTCACGGTCTCTAATGCTGCCAGTTGATTTTGTTCTGTCAACTCTTTCGCATCGATTTGCATTTCTTGCTGAAATTCTCGATAATGTTTCTTAAGAGCTGTACGCAACGTTGTATCTAGCTTTTGTGAGAATCGATTCTGATCTTCCTAGAAATAGAATATTGAAAAAGCTGGATCGATACATTAACGCCAATAATAAGACATATATACCTCATTAATTAAAAAAAGATTTTTTAATAATTTTTCACATTTAAGCTGCAAGAGAACGTAACGGAAAAAAAAAAACTCAAGGTGAGCCCAAAAAATTAAGAAAAAAAAAAACCAAAGATATTTACAAGAGATATATATGATTTTAGAAATTTACTTCCTGACTTGAAGATATATTTTCATCATTTGCAGAATTTTCCTCGCTGACGTGATTGGCCAAAGTCCCATCATATTCCAAAAGCGTCATTTGAACACGCGTTTTCTCGTCTTCGATGGAAAAGTCCTTGCACTGGTAATGTCTAATTGGAGTGTAAATTTGCTGAAAATAATTGTGAGACTATTTTTTCAAAAAAGCAAACACAAAACGATCAAATACTTGTATCCTTTTAATGTAATTAGAAGCAATTCGCATCTTTTCCAAATTCTTTTTGTCACTTTTGTACTGATAATGATTGTGAAATTGACCAACGGCAAATTTTTTTAAACGCAAATTCCTTTCCTCTCTATTCTCTACCTACAGCAAAAAAAAAAAGAAGAAAAAATAAAAAATAATTTCCATTGTCGAAAGATTTCATTTTCATTACCGATTTCTTAACCAGCCATTGTATAACTGGGTGTATACACAAAAATTCTAAACCCTGTATTTGATGAGGCTCAATGTGATAAGGACACTTCATTTGGGGCAGCACGGCTACTATTTTTTCAACCAAAGCTCTGCAATGGCCATGAAGACATTGTAACTTGGTTTTATTATAATCAAACTCAATGAACTCACATCTTTTGACCAATTGTTAGATTTTCGTGGAATAATAAGTCTATATCAATATCATAATCACACATGCATTCGATGCACCAAGTCATACCGCCTACCACTTTATCAAAAGCCGAGAGTCCTTTTATACACGCTCTATAATAACCCGCTTTTATCAAAATATCAAAAGTCTCTTGTTCTTTGATTGTGGCATCGGAATCTTCCCGTCTCTCCACCTGAAATGAATTAAGAAATGAATTACGATCACTAAAAATGGGGAAGACTTTGCCAATGCACTAAATTCACTAAAGATACCTGCACTTCCCGGCCTTCAGCATCGTAACGCGTGGATAATTTAACATTTGATTTGATGAGCTTCGAGAATATTTCGCGATTTGCCATTTTTTTGCATGCGGTTTTAATCTGTTAAATTAAAATTAAGTTATTTAAAATAACTTAATTAGTATTGTGTTCTTCTACGAGAAACCGCTTTTTATAGAAAAGTTTATTATTATAATATTCTCATTCTCTCTATTTTGCCTCAACAATACCATCAGCTGTTAGCACTTTGAACAGAGGTTTACAATGGTTTTCAAAATAATAGCAGTGTTTTTCTGCAACTTTAAGCTTCATAAATAATGGCGCGATTTGCTTTAGAAGATGTAAATTTTTTAACAAAGTGAAATTTGACTACCAAAAAGAACTTGTAGCGTCCAGCGAATAAACCTACCAACACTAAACCCAATGGCAATAATTTAACTAAATGTGTTGTGTATGATTCTCTATGCGAGAGTTCTCTATGAAGGTGGTCAACGATCGAAAGTGCTTAGTTTCTTGCTACATTTCTTGATTGGAATGTTAAATCAAAATTCGAGTATAGACTTATTGTACTTATAGCATTATCTGATTTTTATACCTTAAGTTTACGACGCCTGGGACTTAAGATAGACCAACCATTCGCTGCATCTGTAGACTCAATCACTTTTAACCTTGATCTCAGCTTGTCTGTCCGTCTGTCTGTCTAGTTTTCTTGTGTTCAACTACAGGTAACAATTTTGAAGAAATTTAGTACGGGAAAGTATTTTGGTCCGAGGAGGCACACTATTGAAAATGGTTCGCATCGAACCACCTTTGCAATCACTTCTTATAAACGGCCTTATTTCGATAAATCGTGACAGGAATACTTGTATGAAGAGAAATGACAGATAGCCGGCACAATCCGATCGGTATTACACGTTTGCTGACCAAGAACTCAGTACTCAGTACAACTTCTCGCCATACCGTGTTTATAAAAGCTTGCTTGTGTTTTAATTTCGATACTTTTCTGAAAAGAAAAGAGCGCATTTTTAGTAAAAAAGAAGAACGCATAGACGCCTGTAACAATACGTTCATAAAATTTTTTTATTATTTTTTCAATGATCTATTCAGTTTAATTACTATCCTTCTCCTCCTGTCTCTCTGTATGTCTCTTTACTTTGTACTCTGATTTTCTTATATTTTGTATTCGGTTAATGATTTTGATCGGGTGATAATTACGAAAATTGCAGTTGTATTTGAAGACAATTCTAAAGTTTCAGTCCACGTTTATAAACACAATTTTTATTTCTACAGCAAAAGATTTGTATATTAAAGAGGTGAGTATTTATTAAGTTTTCTTGTCATTTGTAACCATTTTCTCTAGGACAAATGCATCTGTTGACTCAATGCATTTGTAATAATGTTTATGAGTTTCAACAATTGCAAAACCAAATTTCTTATAGAAATCTAAAGCGCCATCGTTATTAATTTGAACATGTCTGCAACAATAACACGAATTATTTACAAGATACTTGGGTAAATAATTATAAAATACTTACAAGAAAATGCTATCAAAATTTCCGTCATTTTCTACATAGTTGAGAATATATAGAAACATTACAGTTCCTATACCTAACCGTCGATAGGGCAGTAAACATCCAAGTGTCATAATGTATAAACGCCTCTTGTTTTCTGTTGTGTCAATTCGCCAGCATATAAGGCATCGTTATCGTTATAGGTGATGGGAAAGATGACAGTGTTCAATTTTTTTAACAATTTAATATTGTGAGGAGTAACATCTCCTAATTCTATGCGGGATCTGTGAGAAAAAAAAATTCTTTTCAAATTAAGTTTATTGCACAATGAGCTAATGATGCGACTCGACCTAGTCATTTCGTTCCAGTTATCACAGTTTATTACAGTAATTTCTTTAATAATTTGAAGCAATGACTTAACAATTAAATCAGCTGTAGCTATACTATTTTTATTCATTTAAATACTCAGCGAACTCTTTCAAATGAAAGGCGAGACTTTCTATTTAATTTTTTCAAAACCGATCATATGGTAACATTGTGTAAAAAAAATAGTATTAACAAAGAAAATATATAAATACGATTCGACATATGAAGGTGCAAAGTTTTGACTCCGGAACATATTGATCGATTCAGAACCATTTTCTGAATCATTTCTGAATGCATCAAAGCTTGTCTGTGCGTCTGTATCTTGCATGTATCTTTGTGTTCAATGTATTTCGCAATTTTTGACAATCGCTACTGAAAATGGATTAGAACGGGCCACTTTTTCGCACACTCCTAATATAACGCCTTGTTTTGATAAGTCGTTACATGAAAAAATAGTGTAATTTTTAGAATTTCGCGACAAAAATCGCTTAGTAATAGTATTTCGGCATCCTAAATTTGTTTGAGAAATTTGAATCGGTTGGTCAATTTTTTCACATTCTTATCATATAAGCTTTCGTATGCAACTTGAATCATTATATGCTAAAAAGATATAAGTTCCAATGTTTCGTGGTGAAAACTGAATCCAACATATATAAGGGCTTGTCATTAAATCATATATACCGGTTTCGAAGAACAATGTGCACAACCGAAAAGTGAATTTATGGACTAACTAAGACGTCAAATTATCGATTACAGAGCCTCGACTTAAGTCAAGTGCAGAAAAGACATCCTAGTAGAAAGCTTCTCGCATGCAACACAATTTAGTTGAAAAATCATGTGTCTGCAATAAACCCAGTTTCTATGAAATTCGAGTGCCGTTGTTGGATGCAAATATATTCGTATACACGCCTTCTTAAAACGAGAAATTCAAAAGTTAATTAGACAATTATTCTTAAACTTATGAACGAAACTTATGAGAAAGGAAATCTACTGTGTCAATTTGTTTTTTGTAAATAAAAAGTTGTTTAGATGTATTTGATCTTTGCTCTAAACCGAATGAATGAAATGGAATGTGAGGTGATCTTGATTTATAGCAGACTATAAAAATATTATAGTTTTGTTATTGCTTTGTTGTTGCACTGTTTCTAAGTAAACTTACTAAATCGCATGCAAAGGATTGTGGCTAACAACACAAATATTGCGGGTTGAAAATTCAAGTGCGATAAAGTTTTCAATATCAGCGAGCATGTGATCTAAGTTATCCGGCGGCCTTTAAGTCCATATTTCGTAACTTTATTTACAAAATATATAGACAATATATAAATAAAATAAAGGTATTAAGAACGCCTTTAATTTATCAGTTAGAAATTTCCGTGCCCAACTACATTGACCGTAGACAGCCTCAAGATTATTTTGATCATAATTTATGCCAGCTAAAGTAGCAGCGCAGTATCTACGATTTTTATCACGTTTAATTTGCATCGTTGTGCAGGACGTCATTGTCACTACAACATATTTGGTGTCAACACCATCCGTGAAATGAAGTCAAGATCAGACTGATTTTCTGTAGCATGTAAAAAAGAAAGTCACATAGTTCGTTTTGGTCCTACACGTAATTTAAAATACCCATTCTATCTGCCTATATTAGTATGTTTTTATATTTTATCTATATATAGTAGAATATTTTTTATATCACGCTGGTGTAATTATATAGTTATGTAGGTCATTGTTCTACCTATATACTATATCCGTATAATACTTAAATATAGTTGTGTAGTTATTTACATTATTCGATATTTAACGTTATTTAAAAATGGCAGACTTAAAATCGCTTGTACGAGACTAGCCAATAAGGTGCCGCCGTACGAAGGGACGTGCGAATACCGCATATATTTTATTTTATTTTTTATTTTATTTTATTTTTTATTTATTTATTTATTTATTCCACTTATACAAGAAACTCAACTAAAACAAAATGGCAGTCGAGTTCAAATGACTCTAAAGTAAATCTTAAAATTATTTAATAATAAAACTTAGTATAAGTACAATAAAACAAATAAGGAGGAAAAAAAAAGAAAAAAAAAAAAAAGCATGTACACAATTAGCATAGAGCCACGCCCACAACCGATACAGGACCAAATTGCAAGTGAACCCCTAAGCCATCGCAAACATGCATAAGCTTGGCAACCGATAATTGTTAACAACAAATTAATTTTCGACTCATAATGACAAAATCTAAGGTTAAATCAGTTTAAGTACGACATAGGTAAATCGCGCTTGTTGAGCAATATTGCTTTAATGGACTTTAAAGAGTCCGTTAATGAGAATAGATGATAGACATCATTTAGGTTCTTGCAAACAACTCTGAGCGGGTTAAACAGTTCAAAGTTATATTTGCATTGACTAAGCTTTATCAACATAAAGTACCTAGAGAAGCGATTAGGGACATTAAAGCAAATCTCACGAAGTAATGCGGGCGAATCAATTGCACCATTTATTAATTTGATTAGGAAGGAAACCCCAAGAACAAATCTACGTTTCTCGAGTGACGGTAAGGATAACAGAAGCAACCTATCTTCATAGGGTGGAAGAGGGGAAATCGGGTCCCAACCCAAATTCCTAAGTGCAAACAGCAAGAATTGCTTTTGTATAGATTCAATTGAACCAACGTAGCATCTATATGAAGGAGACCACACAACAGAGGCATACTCAAGAATAGGTCTAACCAAACACGTGTAAAGCCTTTTAGTAATATAAGGATCATCAAGCTCTTTGGACCACCTCTTTATAAAACCAAGAGCGGACCTAGCTTTGCTTAACGAGGACTCAATATGCAAATTGAAACGTAACCTATAATCGAACGCCTAAATCAATGAACGAATCGACGTCTTCCAACCTGTGCGAATCAATGAAGTATTGGGTACTAAACGACTTCCTTCTTAAGAAAGAAAGCTTCTTACATTTATTTAGATTTAGCTTCAGAAGATTGAGGGAGCACCATGCAACCAAATTGTTCAAATCACTTTGAAGATGATGTGATTGCGATTCTACGGAAAAAGAAGTAAACAGTTTCACATCATCAGCATACATTAAAATCTTACTGAATTTAATCACGGAGGGCAAATCATTGATGTAAAGATTAAATAAAATAGGACCCAAGTGGCTACCTTGAGGTACGCCAGACGTCACGGGAAATTCATCCGAGGTAATGAGGTTAAACAAAACCCTGAATGATCTACCATACAGATAAGAGCTTAACCATTCAACTAAGAAGAGAGGAAAGCCAGAGGTCTGGATTTTAAATCTAAGAAGTCTATGATTAACCATATCAAACGCCTTGCTAAAGTCAGTGTAAATGACATCAGTGCGAAAACCACTAGAAAAAGCCTTGAAAACATGAGAAGTAAACTCCAACAGATTGGTCACCGTAGATCTTCCCTTTCGAAAACCATGCTGGAAAGGAGAAATATACAATTTCATGGAAAAGGCTATATGCTGAGCCACAATTCGCTCGAACAGTTTAGGTAAGACACTCAACTTGGCGATGCCTCTGTAGTTCTCTACAAGTTGCCTACTACCACTTTTGTGAATAGGAATAAGGAAAGAAGTCTTCCAACACAAAGGGAAAACACCTAAATTCAAAGACTTATTAAAAATCTTTGAGATAACATCACAAAGCTCGCCAGCACAAGATATAAGTACACATGAGGGGATGCCATCGGGTCCAGGCGAGCAATTATATTTCAGAGAGTTCAATCCTTCAAAAACGTCATTTTCCGATATAACAAAGTTAGGAATTGAAACCGAATTAGAAATCGAATATGGATAATTTTCCGATAAATCAAAATTGGCAGTTGAAAAGTTCTGTCGGAAGTATTCCGCAAAGAGATTTGAGGATTCAAAATCATCCGAGGACTCGGAGCCATTAAAAGACACAAACGACGGGTTTATGGAGATTTTTCTTTTGGAATTAACGAACTTAAAAAAGTATTTAGGGTTAGCAAACAAGGAGGATTTAACAAACTGAAGGTATCTGCAGTAGTATTGGCGGTTGAGGGAATTAAATTTATGCCTTGCAACAGAGTAAGCGAAATAGTCGAAAGAAGAACCACTTTTCGAAAATTTTTTGAACAACTTGTTTTTCCTATTCTTGTAGTATTTAATTGTCTTATTAAACCACGGGGGATCCTTACTTCGAGGACGGGACTGCTTGATCGGAACGGATGCAGAAATAGCTTGATTTAATACATTGTAGAACGACGACAGTAAGCTATCAATGCTTCCCTCTGAGAAATCGAGCACAAAATGAGAAAGATGAGATTTTAGTATGGAAACATTGATTTTATGAAAATCATAACGTTGATATGAAAAATTTGAATTTGGAACGTTATAGAGGTTCAACGAACCAACATACTTGTAATGAAAGGAAACACCCAATGCTGGATGATATGGATCCTCAGGTAAACTAAACGGAAGACAACGATTAACGCAAACCTCAGGAAAATTTGCAAAGCAGAGATCAAGAAATCTCCCATTACAATTAGGGGTACCATTGTATTGAACTAAATTATTATCAAATAATTCATTGAAGAACACAACGGCTTTATCAGATGTTGAGGAAGGAATCAAACAGCCAGAACTATCACTGTAAAATCAATTGACTTGAGGCAAGTTGAAGTCACCCAACGCAAGGACTATATCGGTAGATTTAGATTGCTTGGCCACTTCACAAATGAGGGCGCCTGTTTCTTATATACAGAGATATCCGAATTTGGGGGAATATATATGTGAACTGACTTGTCCTTAATGTGGCTAAATTAGCGATTGGCCTTGTCAATCGGAATCTTTGACATCTATGTAACTACGCACACTTTTAATATATAAGAGATTTGATTACAAAAATGAGGAATGGTAGGAGTTTTATTTAAGTCAGAGAATAGGGAAGAAAATATACCGGAGGTAAAAACGCCTGAGTGATCCACTGAGTCTACAACAGCATTATTAATTCGGGTAGGAATTCTTCTAAAGAACGGGGGAAAATTCGCATCCTCACAACCAGCTACAATAAAAACTAAGGTAAGTATCAAAACTAATACTGTGTTCATACACAGGAGGCTGAAAAGTCATTCAGAATAATCTAACCAAACTAAATTATATTGTCTAAGTGTAGTAATTAAACTTAAGTAACCTATAACATCGCGTTTAATGGGTGCTTTACTATAAATTGTAAGTTTAGTAGAATACTACAAACAAAGACGACGTATTTGGGATGGATTTTGGTCTAAGTTGTTTTGCTTTTTCTTATTGGTGCTAGAGATTTTGACTTCATTGTGCATAATTTAAGGTGAATTGTATACTTGGTTTGTATATGGAAATAATATATATCCCGAAAATTATTATGAGCTAAAATAATGTATTCGGTGAGCGATACGCTTATATGCAGGAATACAATTGATTGAATAAGAAGAGAATAAAATGTTACTGGTGTGCAATTACATTTCAAAAAAAATCTACTTTTTTATTAATGGAATTCAAAAAAAAATCTACAATGCTTATTTTTGTACATGCAGCGCATCAAAATATGCTTAATATTGAATGCACTCTGTCTTGCAAAAATATAATGAATAGTTGTCGCCCTGTATAAGTTAAAACTATGCAACTTTATTATTGTTTATTTCTTTTACTTCTGGTAGGCTAACGGATTGTACACACGTGATAATTTTTGGTCAATAACAAAAAAATTGCTGATAAATAATGGACAAACCAGTTGTCTGTGCTCGCGTTATAAAAGTTTTGGGGCGCACCGGCTCCCAAGGCCAATGTACACAGGTAAAGGTAGAATTTATAGGAGAACAAAACCGTCAAATTATTCGCAATGTGAAAGGGCCTGTGCGGGAAGGTGATATTTTGACTTTACTAGAGTCAGAGCGCGAAGCAAGAAGATTGCGATAAATGGAATGTGTTGACGATTGTTGTAAAAGTGAGTATAGTCTAAATATGGATATATAAGCCACAAATCTATTGGCTTAGTCTATCTCCACTCAACAAACCAAACAAAAACAAGGAAAAATATATATATATATTGAACAGAGATGGACTAAGCCAATAGATTTGTGACTTATATGTCCATGGAAAAATATATAGTCTAAATATCACAAATACCCAGAACAATCAATTTTGTTCCGTTTTTTTTTCTTACAGACTTTTCAACCTATGTATAATTTTTCGTTTTCAATTTGAATGCGCAAGCAATCAGCAAATAAATTTGATATCTTCTTAAAACTTGAACGCTTGAAATTTCATTACATGCAATATTTTAGTGGTAACTATTCGTGTGAATTGACGACATACCGCACCGTACCGATTGCAGGAAGTATCGCGCATTTACGGAACCAGAATTTTTCTTGTGCAAGAAAATCCGTGAATTGTGAGCTGCATATTATGCATATTATGCGTTTTGAGTAAATTTCATGCGCTCTGTGCGCTATGAGTAAATACAAGCAGGAAATTCTCGATAGCCTTCAAAGTCGAATATCATTTTCAGGTACCAAGCAAAATTTGAGTGAAGATCAGATATTTATAAAAATCTCGTATATGGGATTAAAACAGTGATCAGGTGTTGCGTTAGAAGGAAAGCGAAACGCAAGTTATTGGCACTGCTTATACGATAGACAAAAATCTACATGATAAATTAGATTTTGTTTGTAAAATTGCTACATCATCGCCCATAGAACACGCATTCAAACCTTTCTATCCTTATCTGTTATAATTTATTAGTAATGACAAAAACGATTTTTCATTCCTTTTGAAAAACAGAGGCGTCCTCAGTTTACGTGATGCTGCGTGCGTATCGTTCGACAGGTTTGGCCCCTTTTCAATGCCAAGCTGCATGAGAATATTTCAAATGTTTTGCCAAATTTGAAGACGATGGGTTCATTTTTGCGACCAAAAGGGAGTTTACAACAAAAATTACAAAGACGGACATACTTAAATTGGTTTAAAACTTGACGCCGATGAAAAATATATATACTTTGTTGGGTCTCTAATGCTTCTTTCTGGACGATACAAACGTTTTAACAAAATTAATATACCTCTCATCTGCCATCGATATAAAGTAAATTAAAAAATTATAGTTCATTGTTTATGTTTTCTTTACAATTATAGTCCTAACGTTTTAGTCCGTGTAAGGACGTTTTATTTTTCATAATATATAAAATCTCCAATGACAACAGAATCCACAAGCAAGCATGTTTGTTCTTAAATTTTCTAAAGTGAGCACAGATTAAGCTTTTTTATCTTTCTTTTCTAAATGGCCATTACTATGAACATGATTCGACGAGTTTAGTGATGTTTTGCGTAAAGTTTTTTGTAGAACATGTGCATCCGCGGGTTCAATGCGTTTATAGTAATGTTTTTTAGTTTCAACAATTTCAAAACCAAATTTCTTATAAAACTCAATAGCACCATCATTGTTAACTTGAACATGTCTATAGCAAAAACACAAATTATTTACAATGTACTTTAATAAATAGTTGTAAAGTACTTACAAAAAAATGCTATCAAAATTTCCGTCATTTTCTACATAGTTGAGGATATGCTGAAACATGACAGTTCCTATGCCTAAGCGCCGATAGGGCGATAAACATCCCAGCGTCATAATGTATAAACGTCTTTGGTTGTCGGATGTATCAATGCGACAGCAAACAGCGCCTACCACAATATCATTATAATAGGCTAACTTTGCCAATTCTCCAGCATCCAAAACATCAACGTAAAATTTATCGTTATAGGAGACGGGGAATACGACAGTATTTAATTTTCTTAATTGCTTAATATTGTGAGGTGTAACATCTCCTAGTTCTATGCTGGTCCTGTAGAATAATTTAAACATATGTAAATAAAGGCAATCGCAATGCAATTTGCAGGAGGAATATGTAATGCATACCTGGTCATTTTGTTTAATATCCCGCAACCAATTGTAATAAACTTATGAATAATTTAAACTAATATTTTAAAAAGTAAATTCAATCACGACTGTGTTTCTTTGCTTAACAAGTCACTCACACACAGATTATTACTGTCCTTCAAAGAAAATGCGGACTTGGGCAAGTTAAGTTTCTTCTTCTTCTTGACAGACAGTGTTGTCAGATGGATGCAGATATAGATATGTAGAAATTGTAAACAATATAAATATCAAACAGATCTTTAATATATTTTTCTAAGTTAGCTGTAATGCGCTGTAAAATTGGAAAACATTATTATCATCCAATAAATGCAACTCAATCACTGATCAAGAACGATGACAGTTTTACAATTACAACTCCAGGTTATCTGGCAATGTTGGCGATACTTTATCGAAAATAATAAAATTGACAACTAAGCAGCTGCTCTCTTAGTTGTAAAACATTTTGTTTATTATTTAATACATTTGGTAATAGTTCTTCTTTTTTTTGAAGTTTTTAATAAGAAGGAAATTTTTGTTCTCATTAATTTTCGTATGCAAAAACAAATAAGTGCTTGTGTAAAAAAGAATTTTAAACATGTTAATGTGAATGTTTGAATTTTGAATGAAGTACTAGCTGACTGATTTTAACAATGTCGTCAACCCTTCGGGATAAATTGCCGCCACGACGAAAGGGATTATCTAAACCATAGTCGGTGCTTTGCCGCCGATCGCAGCCTGCTATCGGCCTCCTTGTAATGTCCTCAAAATTATGATTAAAATTACTTAACGAATTACATAGTGTTTCCGTATTTTGTTTAAATATTTGGGAGTGTAAATATCTTACTGTTTCCTACTTTGATAAGATGACACACGCACTACTGGACATTCATATTCCTCTTAAACTTCAATACCACTGTCGCCCGTACTGACAATAGCGTGTCTAATTGCAAGTTGCCGTCACAGCCACATTCCATATTTGGTTATATACGTTACGATAAAGGAGTTGGCTTTTCAAAAACCAACGTTTCAATCATGGAATCTTTTGAGAAACCAAACGACGCCCTTTTCAGGCCGTCTGTTTTTGGCCCCAATTTAGTAAGTTTCGTTGTATCGTTTGATGAGGATTATGAACAGTTATCATTTTATCAATATTAGAAGCGTTGCACAAAGGTATCTAATTTTTAGTCAACTCGGCGACTCATCTGTTTTGTGATTTGCTAACTGACAGCAGAGGAACATTTATTTTTACTATTTATATTTTTACATTTATTATTTACTATTTTTATTTTGCGTTTATAAGCTATGATTAGAATATATTTTAACTGAAAATGATTGTAAACATCAATATTGGTCTACTGGGTCATGTAGACTCAGGCAAAACATCATTGGCTAAAGCCTTAAGTACAATTTCCAGTACCGCAGCTTTTGATAAAAATCCTCAATCGAAAGAACGCGGCATTACATTGGATTTAGGCTTCAGTGCTATCGTATTAGAAGCTCCAGCTCAACTGAAATCGCAAGACGAGCAAATTAAACAATTGCAACTCACATTTGTTGATTGTCCAGGGCACGCTAGTCTAATTAGAACCATAATAGGAGGTAAATATTAAAACTCCCACATTTGCCTCGTATGTAACTAAAATAAAATTTTGTTAAAGGTGCACAAATTATTGATTTGATGCTCTTGGTAATTGACGTTCAAAAAGGTGTGCAAACACAAACGGCTGAATGTGTAGTAATAGGAGGACTTTTGAAGCGTAAACTTATCGTTGTTATTAACAAAATTGATTTAGTAGAAACGCAGCAGCAAACTATTGTTTTAACCAAATTGGAGAAGAAATTACGAAAGGCTTTAATAGCTGCAAGTTTTACTGAAAATTTTCCAATATTTCGTGTATCGGCTCAAAATGGGCAGGGAATTCAAGAATTATTGAATGGTATGAAAAACGAAATACATATACCGGTGCGTCTGCCGGAGAAACCCTTGGTAATGTATGTCGATCATTGTTTTTCAATTAGAGGGCAAGGTAGTTACAAAAGCTGTGTTCGAACTAATTTAAAACTATTTACGATTTGTTTTATTTCGTTTTTGTTAGGTACTATTTGTACTGGTACTATTGTGCAGGGGCAACTTAAAATCAATGATTTTATTGAATTGCCTGCCGTAGGGGAACAATGTAAGGTGAAATCTTTACAAATGTTTAAAAAACCGGTACAAAGTGCTGTTATGGGTGACCGGGTGGGAGTTTGTGTTACACAATTCAATGCTAAACAATTGGAAAGAGGGGTTCTTTGTCAGCCTGGCTATTTGCAAGCGGTCTATGCTGCCGTAATATTACTCGAACATGTAAAGTATTATAAACTTGCTTTAAAGTCTAAAAGTAAATTCCATGTAAGCGTAGGACATGATACTGTAATGGCACGAATCATCTTATTTAGAAGTCTTACAAATCAACGCGAATTCAATATCAACGAAGAATATGAATACATTGATGAAATAGGACCATCAGAAATACAACCCAGTCAAGATGAATGCAGCGTTTTTACATTATTGGAATTTGAAAGACCTGTCTATGCAATTTCTAATGGAATTCTAATTGCTTCGAAATTGGATTTAGATGCCCATTGCAATTGCTGCCGTTTGGCTTTTTGGGGTAATATGCAGTGGTGCAGCTCGTCCACGAACTACTTAAACGAACAATTAATGCTATGGAGGATTTTTAAAAACAAACAAAGACAAGGAAACGTACACAGGCTTGTGAATTCTCAAGAAATAATTGTACAAAATTTATTTAGAAAAGATAACAATCGGGAACTATTCATTGGAAAACATGTTCAACTTTCAACTGGTGAGACGGGCATCATCGCAAGTACTTTTGGCCAGACTTCAAAGGTAAAAATAACGTTTTCGGAGTGTCTTAAAAGGGAAACTTTGAAAATCCTAAAAGAAGGCGGAGCAAATAATATTTTAGTGATACTAAAGTATAAAAAATATACTTTTAATAAAAATGCTGGTTTATGTCAATAATATCAATAAATGTTTTCACGAAATTATACAAATCACAGCAATATTATCCATAATTGGTAGACTATTCAGAATCAGGAAGTTTTAAAATCGACTTAATACTGTCTGTTGAGTAAGAAAAATACATTTGCAAAAGTAGCTACATTTGTTCCTAGACATGGAAGCACAAGTATTGAAAACTTTTCTAGAGTTTGAAGTCTGATGTTAAACAGTCAATTCTTAAAATCTTTGCACAAAAAATCATACGCACATACGTTTTATGTTTTATGTCAAGTGCGGTAGGCTTTTTAATAAAAGCCAAAAGCCTTAGGTGCTAGTGTTTTAAGACTTCAGTCTTAGAATTTATTCTCTGGCTAAATTTATAACAATAATAATAATAATAATAATATGTTTCATGTCAATAACGTAATTAGTAATTAGTTTGCCTATTTACAATGCTAACGTATACTATACATAGTACGACCGATGTAACAAGAGAATGGATCTTCGTTCGTATCTTGCAATCAAATAGCAATCTTAAAAAATCGAAACAAATTGATTTATACTTCTTATTATACCTGACCTATACGTGCCTTACTTGTCATAGATCAGAGCGGCAATCACTCGATCAGTCGATCTGGCCATGCCAGTTGATATATTCAACATAAATTCTCAAAAGTGTATAATCATATATTATAGTTTCACTTCTCTGGCTAATGCACTGCTTAAAAAAAAGTAAGCTTTCCACAGTGAGTCACAGCGTACCATACGCTACCCTACATTATTTATATAACGACTATTTATAGTAAGACGTTGCTTGCGAAGGGGTCGAAAAATAGTGGATTACAATAGCGTTGGTCCGTAGTGCAAAATAAATCTGTCTACCAAATTTCATTAGAATATCTCAAAAATTGTGGTCTTAG